AGCCAAGCCAGAAAGCTTGTGTGTGCTTCAGCCTTTGAGTTCTCCTCTCCCTAACCCATAAGGTCAAACTTGGATTTAAAGCCTCCCAAAATTGACTCTTTTTTTTAACTGTGTTGTCATTTACTTTGGATGAATATAGAAGATGAAGGTTTTCCTTAAAGTGAATGGTCATCTAATGACGTCCTTTTATGAATTTATAATAATAGCTTCTTCTTCCCATTATGAAAGCCATGGGTGCTTCTTACAAAAGCATAAAACAAACACATAACCCATATCACAAGATAAAAGCTCTCTTGCAATCCTATCACCCAAACATGACTACTGTGGTTTTAGGGACCCTCATCTTGACTGTTTTCATACATATATAAAACCTGTTGATGTGGTTCAGTCTTTTCTTAAAGAGAAATAAGGACGAGTGAGATATTTTGATGCTAGCTTCTTTTCTTTTTGGTCCTAATAAAATACATATGTTTGTACATTAACAGCTATAGATCTCCATGATCAGATTTGGTTTGGTTTGTTTTGGCTTGATGTGGTTAATTTTGGAAGCTGCCTAGTACTTTGCTACAGACATAAAAAAAACCTGTAAAAATCAATTCCTATTAGTGAACACTTTTCAACATTAAATCTTGAGGAATGTTTTTCACTCGTTATACTGACCTGGCTTTTCTCTGAACTAAATGTAAACAAGGATATGTGAAAATAGGTGTTTTATTTCTTAGTGTGGTAGGCTTCCAGAAATTGATTATATCGTACCCTTTGTATCTTTTGTTAAAATTATTTGATAATAGTGCTTTCTTTCCTTTTTGCAGTACTGGGGATTGAACCCAGGCCTCACACATGCTAGGCAAAAGACTTGCCACTGAGCTACATTCACAGCCCAATAATGATTCCTTGAAATCACTGTAATAGAAACAGTCAAAGCAACTTTCAGGAAAACTGAAAATGGAAGCTTAGAAAGGTCTGTACCTTTAAGAACTTCTCTGGATCATTTTCACCGTACCATTCGAGTTTATCATTTGTACTATGAATTTATCACACTCAACAAGGAGGAAAATTTCAATTTGTAAGAGATACACAAGTAAAGATGCTAAGTGTTTTCTCAAAAACTGACACAACAAGGGGAAGGATTCAGATTTTTCCTACTTGTTTTTAATGTGTTCAACTGCTAAAACATCAAATTTGAAACTTATGTAAGCATTTTGAAATAAATAATCTTTGCACTTTAAAAGTCTACCTTTTTTCTTCCAAAGAGCCAAGAATTGAACCCAGGCCACCAATATGCTAGGCAAGCGGCTCTGCCACTGAGCCATACCCCTAGCCCCCCCCCCCCCCCCCACTTTGCCTTCAAGGCTCTGTTTTAAAAGTCTGGTCCTCATTTGAAAAATCAATTTGTAAACATAACATTGAAAATCCAAGATAAGATAATTAGTCACTTTTCCTTTAATGTTGAGACAGTTTGGGTTCAAAAAATATTTTAGGAACAAAATCAATGAGGGTTGCCAGAATCTGTATTTCCAATTAATAGTTTGGATTGTATTGAGTATGGTACCAGTATTTGTTAATTGTGATTGTATACATAATCTTTCCATACTTTGTAGAATTTTTAAAAATCTGACATTAAAACTTGTACTCTTCTATGTAAGTTTTTATGATCATAAGCTTTACTCTATAACTGGTCCCTTCCCACTTACCTGTTTTCCTATGCCAAATATTTATTTTATTTCAACTAATAAAGCTCATGCTCAGAAAAATGTATTTTAAATATGTAATAAGAGAACAATTCCCTTTCTTGGGAAATGTTTGAAATGTTAAGTGGGCAGGGAAAAAATATAAAGTTGTACAAACAGTAAGATGTGAAAATTCAAGGGAAGAAATGCAACAAAATGAACAAAAATCAATTGGTCAGAGTTGCAGGAGAATTTTTTTTGCTTGCTTGTTTTCTCCATTTCTGTATATTCCAAATGTTTTATGATTTCATTTGCTTATGAAAAGTAAAAAGTAAAATAGTTTTAGAACAAAATAATGTAAAATCTAATTTCATGTTCTGAAATATTTTATTGAATTGTTTATGATTGTAAAAGTACCTTATGTTCATTGTGGAAACACAGAATGTTCTAAAAATATATAAACAGAGAAGGTAAAAGGACTATAATTCCAAAATCTAGATATGATCACCAATACTTTAATGTATTTGCTTTTACTTTTGTAAATAAATAATTGTGTAACGTAACTGAAACATGAGTATCTGTAGTTTTCTTTTTCTTTAAACTTCATGAGCATTTTCTATAGTCTTACCTTTGCTCTCCGGTATTATTTGTAATGGTTGCATAGGAGTCTTCGGCGTGAGTATCTTGCCACAGGAGTTACCATCAGTCTGCCATTTGGTCACTTTCAGCTGCTTTTCCAGTTGATTTTACAAAACACATTGCACTGTACGTCATCGTACATAAAATTTTCACATTTCTCTGATTGTTTCCTTGAGATGAAATCCTAGAAATAAAAGGACTATGTCAAAGTATATATTTAAAGTAACTTTCGTAACTTTTTGACCACACAACTAAGTTAGCTTAAATGTATGCAGCTGAGCACAATGAAAGCATCTTTTAAAAGAAAGGAAAAAATAATTTTTACATATTTTAAAGGTTAAAAAAATGCATCTCACTGCCTGTCTTGGGGTTCCTATGACCACTGATGAGGGTATCCCTGTCTTTTGTCAGCCACCTATCGCTCTCTCCCATGAATTATGTGAGTATATTCACATCTTTGGCCCTTTCATTTTTACTGTTAAGATATATGTACTTCTTATCTACTTTAATAAGTTCTTTATAAACCAGAAATATGATTCCTTCCTTTTTAATATTTATGACAAGCATTTTCCCGTATTGTTCTTTGGTTTTTAATTTTTAATTTTTTGTTTATTCCCACTTTTGGCATGTAGAAATTTGGATTTTCATATGTTCAAATAAGTGATTTCTTCTGTCTTTTATGTGTTAAAAAGCACATCTCTTACTCAACCGAATGTCCCATCTAGACTTTTTAATGTCTTTTTTTATAATTAACTCTTTAATTCATTTGGAATTATATTGATGGTGTGAGATATAAATGGAATTTGACTTTTCCCAGACAGCCAATATTATTTCCATTGGATTTATCAATTAATATTCCCTTTCCCATAATTTTGTGACCCTCTTTTCATCGTGTGAGATTGTATATCTCTGAGAGTTCAGTCTGTATCATTCTAGTCCATTTCATTGATCTGTGCTTTCGTCTTTTTTTTTGGTACTGGGGATTGAACTCAGGTCCTTAGCTTGCAAGGCAGGGGGTGGAACCAATGAGCTAAATCCCCGGCCCCCTTTCATCTTTTTTTGACCTGTGCCTTCCTGAACCAACATTCCACAACATTTATATTTTTATGTTTCCATATCTGATATAGCAAGTTCTCCATATCATGCCCTTTTGCAAAAATATCTTAGTTATTGTTAATGACTTAAATCATGCAAATGAAATTTAGAATTTGGACACATTTCCCTGGATTTCAGGAATTTTGCTTGGTACTGATTTGTTCAGTCTTCTCACCTAGGATCCTGGTGTATTTATCTCTAGTTTGTTTCATATGGGTCCTGCTTGAATTGTTAGAAATTGTTATTTTTAAGAAATTTGTGACTACTGTAAAGCGATTTCCCCATCACCACCTTGCACAGGCGACTGTTAATTATTGTTGGAATAGCAGAAAGCAAGTGATTTTGTTTGTCTTGGTACACATCACTGCTGGACTGCTGCTTGCTGTCCAGCTACTTGCTGTAGCAACTTGTTGCTACTTGCTGGACTGTTAGGAATTCTGAGGTTTCAAATAATTTTTTGTAGGTGGCATCACACTTGCCACCCTGTGATACTTTTTTTTCTTTTTTTTGATGCTTACACTTTTTGCTTCTGTGTCATGTTTTATTGCATTATCTGGTGGCTCTTGTGGAACAATATTCGGTTGGCATGTATGTGATAAAGGCATTCTTATTTTTTATTCTTCATTTGAAGGAGAATATTTCTGGTATTTCACATATATGTTCTGTTGTTGATAGCTTGCAAGAGCTTTTTAAAAATCTTGTCAGAAAGTACCTCTTGTGGAAATGACACAGAACTAAAACCAAATCCTGTGCTTTTTTTGTTGCTGGGGTGGGGGTAAAATTTTTCTGAAGTTTCCTATGGTGCATGAATCACCTTCCATTTGCTTTAAATACAGAGAGCAATAGCCCACATTCGGGGCTGGGGATTTAGCTCAGTGGTAGAATGCTTGCCTAGCAAGCATGAGGCCCTGGGTTCGGTTCTCGGCACCAAAAAATTAAAAAACAAAAAAGCAAAAAAAAAAAACAACAAAACAAAACCAAAAAAGGCCAAAAAAAAACAAGGTAACTGGCACACACAAACAACCTTTTGTATTTCATTTTCCAAGAACTCTGCATATCAAGAACAGATGGCCACGTTTATTATTTATTATTTGCCTTTTCGGACGTCCCTGTGCCAATCAGCCCTTCTCCTTGGTCACATCCCACCGCTCGCTGCACTGGCTGCGGCGGCGTGGCTGCAGTGGCTGCGGTGACACGGATCCTCAAGCTGCCCTGCACGGTGCCCGAGCCCCTCTGGATCCTGCCGCGGGCTCCGGGGGACCACGCGACCCCGCTCTTCGTCCCGCCCTGAAGACACCTTCCTCCAAATCCCTAGGGCGGAGCTTTCGGGTCTGGAGCCTCCTGAGGAGCCGGTTCTTTGATAACTTTTCTAATTTCTTTCCGTGCCATGTTTAGCAAGTCACTCACATCTGCCTGGCTTTTTAAAAACTAAAAACCAGGCCTGCAGCCCCTGAACTCGAACAACCCGACACTCCCGGCGGCGACAGACCCGCCCAGAGCTCGAGGAAAGGGGGTTGGAGAAACGGGCAACGGGCGGGGCTTTGTCCGAGCCAAACTCGTCCCACTGTCGCAGCTGCGCATGCGTCCTGGCTTCTTTCTGGACCCTCTTGCATGCCGTCCTTTCCCGGCGGGCTCCGCGCGGCTGCTTCCGGAAGTGGGCTTTGCCTCCTTGGAAGCGAAACGTTTGTTCTGACCGTTGTGGGAGCTAGGACTCGGAAGGGTAACGGGGAAGGCCTGGTACCCCGATGGCCGACAGTCAGGACATGTTCGACGCCATTGTGATGGCGGATGAGAGGTGGGTGGCGAGGCTGGGCGGGGCCCGCCGGGAGTTCCAGGTCTGGTTTTCTCAGCTGATGGGCTGCGGCGTGGGGCACCTGTTTGCGCGTGGCGTCCCTCGAGCTTGTGCGTTGGAAGAGTGTTGTGTGGTCCACAGAGCCATGTAGAGTCGAGGTGCTATTCTGCCTTGCTCCTCGCACGCCCCGACCCGCCACGTGCCCAGCTGCTCGGGACCCGCCTCTCCAGTCACCCACCGCCTCCAGCATCTGCTCGGTTTAAGGACTGCGTTCCTCCAGGAACGCCCCCTCCTCTAGTGGCACAGGCCTTTGCCATCTGGGAGCTGCCACTTTTTCTTGTTTCTTAATTGCTAGGCATACGGCAGTATTCATGGGCCTGTTGATCAATGTGTCAGGCGGCATCCTTTTGTCTCCAGAGCCCCTGGGGAGCTACCAGGGCTGCCACGGGGCGGAGCTGTGTCTTTGGACCTTTTGGCTGTCTTCAGACCCGGCCCACAGGAGACATCAGTAGATGTCAGTTGATAGCCAGGGAACATTGAACACCCAGTCCCTCACATTTGTTTGGGACTTAAGGAGAATCCAGCTGAATATTCTTTCCCAGATATCTGTTTTAGACCTGCTTAGGCAATGGATCTTGTTCTTTTCATTTTACAGATGAGAGGGCACAGTCACGCCAGGGCCATATGACTAATAAGTGGGGTGCTGTACACTCTTTCCTCATGGGGTGCTCCAAAACACCTTTCTGACTGCTGGTTAAAGCAGCCCCAGTGCCATTGTTAAATGCTTAAAATCAGTGCCTTTATTAGATTCCAGTTATCTCATTTTGTGATGATGTAGTGGTATTTCTCCCTGTTACTCTACTGAGATGTGATGAAAAGACCTGTACATATTGCAGAGGTTTTTGGAAGCAACTGGTGCAAGTTAATGTTGCTTGTAGACTCAGAGCTTTGGCTCCCTCTCTACTGTGGCTACAGACTAGAGTCACCTAGATTTGAAAAGTAGATTCCTGGGCTTTACTCCAGACCTCTTGACTATCAGGCTCTTGCGTTTATATCTTTAAATTTTCACTCTGTATTTCTGGTACCCTACCAGTTTGGAGAATCACTAATTTAGCTCACCTTCCTCCTGTAGATGAAAAACACTGGCCTCACGGCACAGCGACTGGCCAGAGGAGACACTCGGGACGGGGGGAGAGCCAGTACCAGAACCTGCACTATTGAACTTGCGTTTTAGACTTTTTCTGCTCTATTCAGTCTTATCCTGTAGTGTCTGGATAATACAAGATAGGAAAGTATTTCCAGAAAAAGTTCTCTTTTTCCTGTTTGATGAAGTGTGCTTCTTCTCCATTACAGGTTCCATGGGGAAGGGTACCAGGAAGGCTATGAAGAAGGCAGTAGTTTGGGTATAATTGAAGGAAGACAATATGGTACCTTACATGGAGCCAAAATTGGATCTGAGGTACGTTGTAGCCCTCATTTAGAAACAAACAGTCTGTCTTCCTTTGCAGTTTATGGTTTACTTTGTTGTTTAGTGAGATCAATTCAGAACATCAGGCCTCTTAGCATTGCAAGGCCTCTGTGTTCTAGATTGGACAGAATGTTGATGGAGAAGTGTTTGGAGTACAGAACTGACTGCACATTGCTTTATGGAGATAATTATGCAGCTGGAGGATGAGAAAACAAGTCCTTGGTCACCTCAGCTTACATTGGAATGTCGTGGTGTTTTGTAGTGTCTTCTAGTGTCTTCAGCCTCAGAGTGGGTGTCTGTGTTTACATAGAAATTCTACTTGAAAGGCCCAGGCAGGGAGATTGCTGTGAGTTCAAGGCCAGCCTGGGCTACATAGTGAGTTCAAAGCTAGCCTGAACTCATAACAAGACCCTGTCTCAAAAAACAAAAACAACAACAAAAAGAAATTCCATAAAATTCATACTTCTCTTGTCCTTTGCCCTAGATGGGCACTCTCTTACAGGTAGATGCCTGGCCCTAAATGGCAGAGCCTGAAGTGAGGCAGTCAGGACAATATCAGATATCTGATGCCGTAAAACAGATGCCCACAGAACAGGGGCTTAAAACACACACTGTTCTCCCACAGTGTTTCTGAGGGGAAGGAATTCAGGAGCCACCTGGCTGAGGGGTTCTGGCTCAGGGTCTCAGAAGGCTGCAGCCAGGGTGTCAGCAAGGGTTATGGTCTCCTCTACAGGCCTGGGGCTGGAGGCTCCGGTCCGAGGCAGCATACTCAGGTGACAGTGGGCATGGACCTTTCCCCAGTATGCTCAGTTGTCCTGACACTTAAGAGCAGTGATCCAGAAAAGCAAGCAGAAACGACATTTGCCTTTTTAAGTGAGACCTCAGAAGTTAGCACTCCTTTCTCTGGGTTCTGTTGGTGACACAGAACCCAGTCAAGGGGAAAGTCAAGGGGATTGCAGACAAGGGGATTGCTCAGGGCATGAAAACAGGGATAAGCATCATGGAGGCCATCTTGGAGGCTTAACCACCTAAGTTCCATTGTCTGAAGTTCAGCAGGTCCTTCCAGAACAGTAACGGAAAAGAGGTATAGCTGCCTTACACTCATGCCTTTGCATTTTGAGAGTTTGGTCATTAGAAAGTATAGCTAGTTGTTTATTAACTTTACTCTTCAATATTTTTTAATTGGCAGATTGGGTGCTATCAAGGTTTTGCTCTCGTGTGGAAGTGCCTCCTATGCAGTTGTGCCAGTGAGAAAGACAGGTGACGTTGAAGCTGTTCTTTCTTCCTTGTTCCTCAGTGTTTGGGCCAGGAGGAACTCTGAGTTCAAAGCTACTCACAGTGACCTTGGTTATTAATCCATCTCAGGTTCCTCATCTGTAAAGTGGAGAAATAATAATGTCAAATTTGAATATTGTTAGAAAAGTTAAAGGGCACATTTTGGGCATCTGATGAACACTGGTCGTTGTTACTTCTCACAGGAGTTCTCATTTCCCTGCCTTGTCCCTGGAGTTACTAAAGCACCGAGTGGCTTTTAGACACCATGTCAGTAAAGTGATACTAAGTGGATTCTGTCATATTCATCCCTCCCCTGAGCTGATGAACAGATTGTAATGGTCTGTGTGCCGAGGGTTCAGAAGTGCTGACCCCATTGTTAGCAGCTTTTCCTTGGCCAGACAGAAGGCCTTGCAATGTGTGTGACTTGTTTTCTAGTACTTGGAAGCCTAAGTAAATGTTAGCTGCTATTTGAATTGTTTTTTGAGTTGTGAATCGTTCTATCTGCCTGCCTGACCCGTCCATGGGAGCCTGTCTGACCAGTCTTTATTCTTAGCTGGACACAAACCTGTAATTAGGTGTATACAGTCAGGTCACCCTGCTGCTCTCAGGAGAAGGTGGACATAGCCTGGCCCTGTGGGGCAGGGAAGGTGGCATCCCCTGTCCATGTGATTTGTCCTTTTATTTGAGATATTTTGAATTTCTCCAGTCTGGGCCATACCCACGTTCAAAAGTAAGAACAAGGATACTTGTGACTAAATATGGCACTTCCAGGGTTGCCTGTGGTCTGACTTCTCCATGTCGCCTGCCTGCTCCATTTGAGCAGATGCTTAGGTCAGCTGAGGGGGTACTATAAAGGTTTTTCCTGAGTCCTCAGGAGGGACAGGTAGGTGGTGAGGTAGACTAGTTGTTGACAGCCTGTGTTGCCACTGGGTGGCAGTCATAACTGAGCTTGGCTCTTTACTGGGTCCAAAAAGGACAGAAACCTGAAGGGCACTGCCCCGAGCACTCCAGCAGTCTCCCCTTTTCCCCACTGTCAAAGTCTGTGGCATGCACTGCTTATGCAAATGCTCCCTTGCCAGGCCAGAGAGTGGCCAGCCCTGCCCCAGAGCAAGGGTTTCCTAATGTCTTCAAGCAGCACACTCTATCTGTCGGATAGAGAAGGAGCCACTTCAGGATGGCCCACTTTCTGTGCCACCATCCCACCTGGCAGGGCCTGGAGGTTTCTGGAACCTAAAGCATCCATTTTTGAAAATGTTTGGATTTTTTGAGTCAGTACAACTTTTTTTTTTTTCTAATGAAACACAGGACTTCACACATGCTAAGGATGCGCTCAGCCACTGAAGTATGCCCCCAGCCCAATAGGATTATTTTTTAAAGGTGAAGGGCGAAGAGAGAATGTTCTACTTTTCCATTTTTCTAAATAAGGATGTTAAAGGGAAAACACCTGCTGCCTGCATGATCTCCGCTAAGGGAGTGGGCATTTAAGTACCTAAGAAAACACGGAGTACTGTCGCCAAGCAAAGGTGGCACTTTCATCCAAGTCCTGGAGCTACTTGGTAAACCTGACATGCTGCTCTCTTCTCAGCAGTGGTGGTGCTGCACATGATGCTGGCAGTGGCAAGGCCTGCGCTACCACCTCTGGGCAAGCGTGGGCTCTGACTGCCTGGCTGGGTGTGTCTGGGTGCCTCAGCCCTGCCTGGGAAACTGGCAGTGGGTGGTGATCTTTGTGGCCTATCTGAATGCAGTCCTCATCGTGGCATCTGCCTTCAGTCTCCTAGGAGCTGGGTACTGCTTTAACTGACTTGCTTTGAAGTTTTTTACTTTAGAATTTCAAGGAGAGGAAGCCATGGTAGGTCTGACAACACAGCTTGCCACAGGTGAATTTACTCATCTGTGTGTCTACAAACAGCCTATTAGGAAGTACTCAGGAGGTTATGGTTGCTTTGAATTGCCATCAGGTACCTAGCATATCCCTGCCTTGGACAGGTTCAGTCTAGGGCAGGAGAGCTCCCCAGGTCACTTGTACCTCGAAAATCCCTGGGCCACATGAATAGGTTATTTTTAAGGCCCCCTAGGTGAGATCCCCATCTCCAGGATCCACAGAAGTGAGGAGAGTCACACTATTGAACACCTGCTCAGTACTAGAGTTCAGGCTTGACATGGATGATTTCGTTTTCTTGAAAGCATGGGAGGCTGCTGTTTCCCAGTTTTGCAGATGAGGACATTGAGGATCAGAGACATGAAATCACTGAGTGTCCTGGAGATGTGCCCAGGGCCGCCCACCTCCTGAGCAGACACCTTTCTGCAGCCTCCCCACAAGCTCCTTGCCTTCCTGGCAAAGGGCACTGGGCTCAGCCACCAGGGAGTGGTGCTGCCCTTGCAGAGAGGGGCCAGGTTACCTGCAGCTGAAACCCCAAAGGCTGTGAGTGCACGCTGCCCTCCTGGAAAATCCCCAGATCAGAGCAGGCTTGTTCGTGTCCCAGCCACTCACTCTCTCGCCTGGTTCTGTCAGTTTCGGTGTCTGTAACTGAGAGCCATGCAGGTTGCCTCAGTCACTCACCTCCGTGGCGGGTATAGAGAGAGGCACATCTGTGTGCCACTGTACCTCTCCGCTGTAAAGCGCTGGGTGTGGGCACAATTCTGTTGCTAGGAAAATAAATATTATCTAGCTTAATGAGAACATTAATCCTTGGGCTCCAAACTGGAGCATACTTAGCGCGCCCATTGCTTTTAAGTGATCAGCATGGTTATTACATAAGCTGAGCTCGATGTGTACAAAGCACTGAAAGCCTCTATTCTGTGCTTTGCAGCAGGAAGATGAAGGTCTTGGAATCATTGATTGAAATGATTCAGAAGTTCCCCTATGATGACCCTACCTACAATAAACTCCATGAAGATTTAGACAAAATTAGAGGGAAATTTAAACAGGTTTGTTCTCTGCATGTCTCTTTCTGCCCAAATGCCAAAGTGTGCCTTTCTGTGGGGTGGCTGGCGCAGGTCCTGGGGGTTTGCTTTGTGCTGGCTTTGGCTGCATGCACCCTATGAATAGTCCTAGAAGCAGTCAATTCTGTGTCTCTGTGCAGGACAACTGAGGATGGTTGGGGGACAGGTGTTGGGACTTAACTAAGGTCTGGCAACAAGAAAAGCTGCAGTCACAGGAGGGTTATGTTCTCATTAGTGAGCAGAAATGAGCAAGATTTTAAAATGCCATGTTTTTGCTTTTGTGTTTTCAGTTTTGTTCACTACTCAATGTTCAGCCGGACTTTAAAATTAGTGTGGAAGGTCCTGGACTTTCATTCTGAGGATGACAGATGAACAAAGAGGAAACATCAGGGAACAGATGTCTGCATGTTAAATGTTCAAAAATGTCATTAAAGGCAAAACAATGGCGGGGTATTCATTGTTCCGGAGGGAGGGTCCCTGTTTGGCCTCCTTCCCCGAGGTTTTCTGCTTGGGTTGCTCCAGTGCTCTGGGCCCTGTCTGCTGTGCTGTCTGAGTGAGCCCTGCAGATCCCTCGAGAGCCTGCTCGATCCTTGCTGTTCCAAAGTTGGTGACTTCACTGATCCTTCGGCTGAGCAGGCCTGCTAGGTGCTGCCCTGAGTAGGATTACCCCAGGCCTGAGCTCAGAGGAAGTTGGGTTTTGTTTTGTTTTTTTTTTAAAGATAAACAGGGTTAAGCCAGGTGCATACCTGTAATCCCAGCATTAGGGAGGCAGAGGCAAGAGGTTTGCTGTGAGTTCAAGGCCAGCCTGAATTACTAGTGAGACCTTGTCTCAAAAAAAAAAAAAAAAAAAAGACAGGGTAACTGGGTGTAGTGGTGCACACCTGTTATCCCAGCACTGTGGTAGGTCCAAGCTGGAGGATGGCAAGTTTGAGCCCAGCCCGGGCAATTTAGCAACTTAGTGAAAATTTGAAAAGGGTTAGGGATGTAGCTCAGTGCAAAGACCCTGTGTTTAATCCCAGGTAACTTGGGGTGAAGAGAGACAGAGTTGATAGGAAGTAGGTTAATGGAAAGACATGAGTAGTAGTTTGGCATTTGTTGAGCCTTCTACGCACCATACAGAGTATTGGTGTTAGGTTTTATCCCATTGCTTTGGCGGCCCAGGAGGTAGATGGTTTCCCCTTTAGAGATGAGCAAACAGGCCAGAAAGGGATTACCTGGGTCTGAGAGCCCAGCAGCCGAGCAAGGACTTCCACAACACCACAAAACACTGGGAGCTCTATCTTCTGCTGCAGACGGCACAGGGCCTGCTGCCCCCATGGAGCCCGGGACTCCCCTGGTTCCCTTTGCCTGGACATCTGAGAGGAGAAGATGCCAGCTCCAGCCCAGGAGTGCCTGATGTGCTCTTCCCACTGTCCTCAGAGGTGGGGTGAACTTGGCAGCATTAGGGGTGCTGGACCAGAGGGCCTTGGCTATTTTCCCCTCTGGAGTTTTGTGTTTTCTCAGATACGTGTTTTGATAATGTATTGTTTTTCTAATTGGAAAAATAAATAAATGTCATATTTTAAAGCACAGGTTCTTCTGGCACCATTTCTAGCACCCTTCCAACCACTTCGTGCCTCACGCCGAGTGGGGATCTAGGTTTGGAGGAGCAGTGGTCTGGCCGGCCAAGGGCAGCTGCTGTGCACATGTCTGGTAACTAGGGAGAAGTAGTTGCTGTGAGAGGATGAGAGTGGTTCCCGGCTGGCTGGGAAATGTCCACCCTGCTGGCCAGCCCCAGAGCTGTCCCCTCTTGACACACCCTTCTCACCTCTCCCAGCTCAGGGGTCTGAGCAGCAGGATGCTTTCTTTTCTGTCCTGCGAAGCCTTGACAACCTCTGATCATCTTCCTCAAGTTGCTGACCTTGACCTGTGTCTACCTGGCTCTCTGGAGCACCGACCCAGCTCCCATGGTCCCTTGGGTACCCACAGGCCTAAAATCCATACAGACAGCTGCTGAACAGCCTGTTACCCTGGTGGCACCACTTCTCGTGCTTGGGTCAGGAACAGGTGCCCATCCTCCTGTGGCCAATGAGGTGAGAGTGGCGTCTGCTGGGAAGGGACACATCATTCCTAAGAGCTGCTGCCTCTTGCATGTCATCTCGTCAGGATGTGACACTTGGAACTAGCATAGGCAACTTGCAGGCAGCTGCAGAGGAAGCCACACTTCAGTGCACAACAGGACACTAGGAGGAACCAGAGTCCTTGCTGTCACCATCGAGCCACTGAGCTGACCAGCCCTACTACAGTCCTTGTGTGTTTCTCACTGTCCCAGCTGACCAAGGCTGTTTGGTTGGGCTGCCATTGTTTGCAGACAGAGCATCCTGCTTGTTCTCTCCCTGTCCTGTCCAAACCCATGCCACCCAGCTGGTTCTCCACATTGGCCAAGGATTTGTGAGCTCTCCAGGTGGGATTTCATTCCTCCTTGCAGGTGGCTAAGGCACCGACTTCCTGTCAGCTTCAGCACATTTTGTGCCATTGTTAGTTTCCTGGGGCCACCATGACAGACCCCCCAGATGGGCAGCTTGGATAGCAGACTCATAGCTCACATCCCAGAGGCTGGAAGTTCAAGATTTAGGTGTCTCATCTTAAGGCCTCTCTCCTTGCCTTGCAGAGGGCGTCTCCTCCCTGCGTCCTTATGGGGTCGTCCCTGTGTGTGTGTCTGTGTTCCCATCTCTTCCTATAAGGGCCCTGGTCAGATTGGATTTGGGATCACCCTAATGACCTCATTTTAGCTTAAATCACCTCTGCAAGACCCCCATCTCCAACTATGGTCACATTCTAAGGGGGTCTTACGGGTTCAGCATATAAATTTGTGGGCACAGCCTGTCTTGGCTGCTGGGACAGACTGTTAACGTGGGACTTGACAAGAATAAAGGCATTTTGTGTAGAAGGTGAAGTCGGTTTTTGGATTTTCCAGTGTATTAGCAGTTGGGTGGTAGCATGATTAATCAATCCTCCACTAATGCTTCCCCTCAAAATTACTCTGATCACATGTAGCTAACTAATGACCAAATTGCCATCCTAAATCAAAGCCACATTTCACTTTTTCTTTATTTCACCTTCATGCCTTAAAACTTTTTCCATCCAGTGCTAAGACATGAGTGCAGGGAGAAGAAGAGACAAGAAGTCCTAGGGCTGGGGATGTAGCTCAGTGGTGCCACACCTGCCTGGCAAGTGCAAGGTCCTGAATTGATTCCCAGTACCAAGAAAAAAAGAGACAAGAGGTCCTTCCTGAGTATTGAATGGCTCCTGGTGGCCAGCCCTTAGCCTTCCTCCCAGTGCTGGACCAACCATCGATGCCATGGGGCAGGGCCACTTCCTTCACAGGTGGGGATACAAGCCCAGTGGATGACTGCCAGTGGTCATAGCAAGTGGCCAACCACAGGCCGGACAAGATACAGTGGGCCTTGAGTAGTTTGCTTAAACCAGGTATGTCTTTGATAAGGTGGGGCCTCACTTTTCTGCTAATTCTCAGCCTGTATTTGGAGCCAGGTAGTTGTCAGAGGTAAAGATAGATGGATTTATGGAAAAAGACCACTGCTGGCCACCTGTAGGAGAAACAGCAACTGAATGGGCCCTTAGCTGCCCAGACCCTGTGAACAGGTCTCTAGCAAGGATGTGTGGCCTTCGGGAGCCTAGAGGTGAGGTGGGTGGTCAGCTCTGTCCAGGGAATGACAGACAGAGGAGATGTGTGGAGGTGGGCGACCATTGCACTAAGGCTTGGGAGAACTCTCTCTTACCCTACCTGGAAACACTTGTGTGACCTGGAGATGACAAAAATTGTAACAAACATGTCCTGAGCTCATCCAGATGTCCATGGTGCATTCTGTCACAGGTAAAGTGAGGAACTGGTTTGGGACGCAGGAAATTGAAGTCACCGAGCCTTGGTGGTTTATGAGGGAAAACAGGCACTGTGTGCAGTGTGTCACTGGACATGGGAATCCTAGTGATGGATAACCCAGCCCCCAGAGGCTTGTTGACTCTTGGCTCAGCTGGGAAAGTCACTCCTTACTGTGAACTCTATAACTTTCCACAGGGATGGTGACCCCCACTGCCATCCCAGCCCTTGCCGCCTGTCCTGGCCCTATCAGGACATTGTCCTGGCTGTCCCTCGTGCCGTCACTGGATCAGCTGGGCCTAGAGTCACAGGGGTCAGAGGCTCTGTCCTCTGTCCTTGTCCCTCCACTGGAGAGACTGCACCTGCTTGATCAACTAATGACCTGGAGAGGAGCTGGCCACACAGCAGGGATGTACAGGATGTGGCTGTTTCCTGTGGGTACCTGTCCCTGAGCTGCCATGAGCTTGTGAGCCTGCCAACTGGCTTCCAGAGCTCAGGCACATCTGTTAGTGATTCAGTCTCATCCCCCAAAGACAAACACTGACGTGTGAGTCATGGCATCTGTAAAGGCGACCCTATTTATAAACAGGATCTTTGCAGATTCTGTGAAGCTGTAAGTTAAGACGAGGTACTAGGGGAGGATGGAACCTCTGTCTTGTGTGACTGGGTCCTTGTCTTAGTTACTTTTCTCATCGCTGAGACCAAATACCCACAAGTTAAGGAAGGAAAGGTCTATTTAGCTCACAGTTTGTAGATGTTTCAGTCCATAATCAGCTGACTTTAAGGCAAGGTGGCTTGGCAGAGAGACATCACAGAGGAGAAACAGTCCATGGCAGGCAGAAGACAGCAAAAGCAAGTAACAAGGGACCTTAACAGAGTCTTTCTGCCCATTTTATCTTATCGGGGCTACTTAGGGTGGTAGCAGTCACACCCTTAATCCTAGTGTCCTGGAGCCTAGCATTGCACCATAAATCAATCACACACTCTAACTCCAGCCACCTCTGAAAAAGCCCCACCTAAGACCACATGAGGCTTTGGGAGGACATCTGGACACAGCCATAGCAGTGATTTTTAAAGAGGAAGAGACACATAGCAAACAGAAGGCCACATGAAGATGGAGGCAGAGTCCTGATGGCTGCAGCTACACCAAGGGAAGCCACCAGAAGGTGGAAGAGATGAAGACCCTGTTGACACCCCAAGGGCACACCCCCAGACTCCAGAATTGTGCGACAATAAATTTCCATTGTTTTAAGCCATGTCATTTGTCATAATATGTTATGGCAGCCCCAGGAATCTGATGCAAATTCCCTCTCCAGCTGGGCAAGGGAGCTGGACAGCCACAGTCCAGACTGCTCCCTGCCTGTCATTGCAGGGGCCTCCCAAGGGACTGTACTCAGCTCCCCTAGTCTCTGCCGCCACTGAGGGCACTGGTGTTATAGGCCCCAGGAACTCCCCTCAGCCTGGCTGCCACCTTGGGGCACAGGGACTTTGTCTAGGGGCTTTGCTCTCAGCCAATTAGGGCCATCCAGCTGTCCTGGGACAGGGGAGACGGATTCGTTGGGCACTTTCAAATCTGTTTGGTCATGTGTGCTCCATGACACACAGTGCACCCCAGAAGAGGGACCTGGCCAGGACCATCAGGCATGGCAGTTCTCCCACAGTCTTCTGAGCTCACTCTGGCCAGCAAGGTGGCCAAGAAAAGGCATTGGCTGACCCCAAGGGGCTCCCCTCCAGCAATATAGAACTTGGTCAGTGGCTCCCATTGCTCATACATGCTAAATCTAGACAAGGTAAGAAGCACATGTGAGCTGTAAGAGTTAATAAGGATCTTTGAAAACCAAGTGACACAGAGCAAACTGACCTCACTTAAAGAAAGTGAGGAGCTCCTGGGATAAAGGGATGTAACTTCAGGAGTGGCTTGATCCAGCAGCTTGTCCGGAGACCTGTTCCCCCACTCTGCTCTCGAAGGGCAGACCCTGTGCCAGGTTCCCAACCCGGCAACAGAAATGTCTGCCAGAGTCCAGAGGAAGAGGGAAGCCCTCTGCTCTTGAAGCCCTGGGAAATGTCTCCCCAAGTCCCTTGGTGCTGTTTGCTTTCACATCCTCCCTTGAGTATACAGCTCTGCTCTTGTGTTCTTCTCTGGGTGTAAAGGGGCTGCTGGGTTTAAGCCTATCAGGGCCTGACCCAAAGCTGAGGATGAGTTTGGCTCCAAATGAGCTACAAAGCTGGAAATGGTGGGTCCCCCAGTGCCCAATGTGGATGCTGTTCCTATCAAGAAGGGGAATTAATGTGGCAAGAAAACCAAGGTTTTTCCACCTGAGAAGCCAAGGGAGGAAGTCCAGCTGGTAACTCCTGACCCCTGGCTGTCTTTTGCCCTCCCACTACGATGTGTTGCCTCCTCATGGGCCTGGGAGCAGCAGGACCAAGATGCCCAAGGATTGGAACCTCCAAAACTGTGAGCCAAAATAAAACCTTTCCTCTTTGAAAATTGATTTTCCTGGTATGTGTCATAGTGATGGGAAGGTGGCTGACCAACTGAGCAAGGAGAGGACCTCAGTCACAAGCTCACATTCCTGCAGGTTATCTCCATTGTACAGATGGGGAAACTGAGGCTCAGAGAGGCCAAACTGCACAGCCTGGATGTTGCAGAGCTGAGGTCCAAACTTAGTGTCTTTTACTGGGAAATATTTGACTAATGTGTGCATATATGGGTATATGTCCTTACTATTTAAACAGCTGGTCACCCGCAGATATCCCCTGCCAGCTGAGTGACGCTCCTACTCCAGGCCAGGGGCCCGAGACAGCACTGACCACAGGGATTGTGGCTTGAAGCCTAGGACACAGGGTCACCTGGCAAAACCAGGCCTGTGTGTGCACCAGCCCTTGGGGGAAAATGGTCATGTGGAGGGCGTGCGCATCCTCCCAGGCCTGATGCACACTTCCCAGGGACAGGAGTGCTGGCTCGACCTCAGGCCTGGCAGGGCCACATACCAGCTGTGTGATTTCAGGTCTATCACTACACTGCCCTGAGCCTCAGTTTACCCACCTCCAACAGGGAGCAGCAAAAACCTCCCTAATCCCAAACTCAACCTGCTTCCTATTTTTGTAAATCAAGATTTACTGGGCTGGGGATTTAGTCAGTGGTTCCACGGCCTGCCTCGAAAGCACAAGGTCCCGAGTTCGATCCCTGGTACCAAAAAAAAAGATTTACTGGCACATAGTACACTCGTTCATTTACCAAGATGCCTGGTTATTATGGTACAAGGCTTGGCAGAGATAACCAGTGCAATGGACAATGTGGCTGCAAAACGTCACATGTCCCTGTCTGGCTCTTAACAGTCTGATAACCTCAGGATCCCTGTACTCACCTTGTACCTGGAGGGCAGGGCCAGATCTGCAACCTTCACCAGTGTGTCTGTCTGTCCCCTCCCCTTCCCTAGACCTCGAGGTTGTTTTGGGAGCTGGGGAGAAACTGCTTAGTTTTCAGCTGGACAGTGGTATACAGCGTATGCCGTGACCTTCAGCTGCCCCAGCCTCTGGGATCCCAAGGGGGGGAGATGCCCAGACAATCAACCTGGAGGGCCTGGGTCTGGAACTGGGACGATCAGGAGGCCCCTCCATCCCCCACAGGCTCTACAGTGGTGGCAGTGGATAGGCCGTCTCTGCTGCCGCTAGGTGAAAATCGAAAGGATTAATGGATGCTGCAGCCTTTGATAGGCCCAGAGCCCACCGCAGCCCCTTTTGCAGAGCCTCCACATTCTCTCTTCCCCATCCTCCCCATGTGCCCTAGGAGTAGTGGTGACAATGCTCCCGGATGTGGGCCCCAAGGCTGGGAGCCCTGGACCTGCCCGCCCACCCGTCCACAGGCTATTGTCTGCCCCAGGCCTGTGGTGTGTGATGCTGGGCTGGTGGGGCCCTGGTGGGCAGGGGGACTGTGGGAACGGATTAGAGGTCCTGGGCTTTCTTTCCCTCTCTGCATAAACTCTTGATCAAAGGCATTCCTGGGATGACAGAGCCCTGCGAAAGGCAGGCCAGGCGAGGGGCCGGTCCAGCATGAGGTCCAGCATGCGGGGAAGGACGCACACCCCACCCCACGCTGCCATTGCCACCGCTGCCCTGCCTCAGGCCCCGTCACAGGGCCAGTTCCCAGCACCAGTCTCTTGAGGCGTGGTGGCAATGCAGTAGCAGAAGGAAGAGACAGCCATGTCCTGTGTCCTACAGAACATAGAGGCTAGGCCCAGAGGCTGTGGGACTTGGGTTCTGGTTCTGCCTCCTGCACAGAGGGTCACAGAGCAGGTGGGAGGTCTGTGGCAGTACAGAGGCCTCTTCCTCTGGAAGCCCTAGGGCCCCGCCCATTTTCTTGACAGCCCGCCCACCCTTTTTCCTCCCAGAAATGAGTGCACATGTCCACCCAGCCTGCCCAGCCTCTCACCCCAAGTCCTCATCCTGGCAGCTGGGGATGGCCCCTGGGTCCCTTGGAGACCCTTCGCTCTCCCACTGTGGAGTCAGCTGACAGTGCCTGAGACTCAGCACAGGGCTGGCTGGGGACGGTGTTGCCTTCCACTCAGCTGCAGGGTGCAGAAGAGGTCTGAGGATTCCCAAGACTTCTTTCTTCCCTCAAGGGGCTCCTGTCGGAGCAGGAAGATGCCAGGCCACCTGTGGATGTGTAGGGGTGCAAAGTCATCATGGAAGCTATTTCTCCCGCTGTGAGGGATGAGCAGAAGGCAAGGCCAGGTTGGGACCAGGCAACAAGACAGAGCCTAAAGCAGCCTGTGTGTCACCAGCCTGGGCAGAACCCAGGTTCAGGGAGTTGAGACCAAAGGGATGAGCCAGGCCTCAGAGCTGGGGATGAGCTGAGGGAGCAGGCCCAGTGGGTACGGACAGAGCACTGGAGACCAGTCGGGGGGAGGCAGGGGCCCCACTCAGCGAGTCGGACAGGCCACGAGAGCTTCTGGGAAGGAGCAGCGGGGTGTGGACTGCTCAAAAGCTTGGTCCCTGAGCTCCTCAGTTTTTATTGTCATCCTGTCAACAGAAGAGTCAGGCAGCCCCCCAAGGGAGGCAACGTCATGACATCCAGGAGGAGTCAGGGCTCCTGAGGTGTTTGCTGAGTTTGAGGGACAATGTCCCAGGTCTTGCTGGCCAGCCAAGGAGAGCGCTGGAGGCCGTTCGTCGACAGGGCTAAGCTGCCATGACGGGGGGCAGGGAGGCAGGTGCACTCTGAGCCTCGCTGTGGGAATGGAGGTGAAGCTCCTACCCTCCCAGGTTTCTGCCTCCCATTCTGTGGCTGGACCCCAAGGTCGCCTGCCCGGTCACCCTGTCCTTACTCTCCTGGTCAATTCATTGCTCTCCCAACACTGTCACATCTATCAGCCTACAAACATCTCCCACCTCAAAACAATGAACAAGCCCCACACCTCAGGAGTGAGTGCCACCCTCGCGCGCCACCCCCACACAGCAAAATGATCCTGCTGGTTCTGTCGCCATCCCACTGCCATTCTGCCTCGCCTGGAACACAGAGGCCCCTTGCCTCCTCTTGCAGTCACCTTGTGGGCCAAGGTTAAGGATGTGGATTCCCAGGGTCCCCAGTCCTGACACAGACCGGGCTCTTGCATGGAGCTAGGCCACTGCGGTGGGCATGGTTGGACAGGGTCCTTAGTGACTGTCTAAGGAGCAGGCTGGGCCCTTGGAAACTGCCTGAGTGGCCACTGGCTGCCTCCTCAGGTTCAGGGGCCCCGGAGCTCTTGATATGAGACAACCTTTCCCCTACCTTTTGCAGAACCCTGCAGGCTTCCAGACTATTCCCAGCTTGTGGCTGCCTGGGGAGAAGACACAGCAGTGACCATGAAGGCCAAGTGTGTCCCCATCCCTTCCTCCCAGAGTGCAAGTGCCTGTGGAGAACCAACTTGGCCAAGCACAAGCCCCTAGGATCACCCTGCAGAAGAGCATGGGCACACAGGTGCTGCATAAAGGCCTTGGTGGCTGACAGTGGCAGAAGTGCTCTTGGCTTAAGAACTAGGCAGCTGCCGAGGTGAGGACAATCGCCCCGTGCTGCGGACTGGACCCCAGGATCCCACAGAGCTGCAGCAGGTCCCGTCCCACTCCTTGTCCAGAGCTTGGAAGCCTGGCATCTGAAGCCCTGTAGGTGAGTACCAGAGTCCCGGAAGGCCCCTACACACCGCACCAGGGACCTGTATGAAAGGCTGCCTGGGACCACAGCCCCAACGCTGTGCTTTGCTCTGCAATCTTGGCTGTGCTTGAGGCCTGTGATTCACCCAGAGCAAACAGCAGTCTGTGCCAGAAGAGGGGGAACGAATGCTGGCTTTATTTATTTTTCTATCTACAAATAACTGGGAGGGCAAATGGGCCACACGAGGGCTGGGAGATGCTTCTGATCAAGGGGCACCGCTCCTGTCCCCTGACGCCAGAAGCTGTTTACGCGTCAGAGGTGCCACCTGCCAATTCTCCCTGAATCCTCCTCCCCCTAGGATCATTTGGCAATGTCAGGAGACACTCTTGGTTGTCACCCGGGGGTGCTGTCATCTAGCGGTTGTCAGAATGACCCAGCCCCACAGGGCAGCCCTGTGTACCTGGTGAACCCGGCCAGGTCCAGGTCCAGGCCTCCTGCCAGCCCAGAAAAGACACAGGCAAGGACCACACTGGGGCTTTTACCAATTTTATTTCTAGACTTTTTCACGTTTGTCTTTTTGTTTTCTGCTGGAAACGTGCCGGTTACATGTCCATGCTGGGAAGCGCTGAGGTGTGTCCACCAAAGCACAGACCCAAACTGCTTGCCAACCAGAGACCCTCACAGACGTTCGGATCACAGGACAGACTCTGCTGTGCTCCGTGGACCTGCCACCAGCCTTTGGGCTTTTGGCACACAGTACTGAAGATGTCTGCCCTCACCCACCACCATGGACACACCGTCCCTCATGGACCCCGCTCGGTTCAGACATAGAGACGTCACAGCCAGAATGGTTGAGGTAAGCAGAAGCAGTGATCCGGAGGGGCGGAGGGACAGCCATGCACCTCCCAATGGCCTCTGGCACAGACACCCCCCCTTGGGGGCACATATCCTTTTGGTTCGGCAGCTTGCTAGGGGACTCTTGGGCACACAGCATTGTGAGCTGGCTCCATTGAGATTTGGAGTCTCTTTTAAATTAGCATTATGCCGTAATTAACAAAACAACAACAGACAGAACACTAGTACAATAACAACAGATTAACACACCCAAAACCTGAACAAATTCCAGAAGCAATTTCAATCATCCCGAATGACAAGAGTCCTACGGGCCCAGCACCACAGTGGCACGTAAGACAGACTGGTTATAATAATAATAATAATAATAACAATAATAATAATAATAATAATGCAATGTTCATAACTACACATACAGAATGATACAGCTGTCATACTACGATGGTACATCCCAGATAGGTGAACAGCCCCACACGACAGGCGCAGGGGAAGATCCTATGTGGGTCTCGCGGACCAGGCCATGGCCGGTTCCCACCAGGCCCAGTCTTGCTATCTTATCTGTGTGTCTGTCCACCAAGGTAGACAGAGCCCAACCATTGGGTCTGCACATGGCTAAGTGAAGCATGAGGTATTGTGAACAGGGACCTTTTTGGAATAGAGCAGTAATCACATCAAGTCAAAATTGATCACATAAAAAAAAACAACTACAAAACAAGGGAATCTGGAATACAATTTTCTACGAGGAAATTAAAACAGGAACATGGCAGTATATGACATTGTAAAACAACAAAAAAATCTGATCCTCCAATAGCAGCAAAACAATGTGAAAGAGACACAGAGAAGCGATGTGAGTTTGTTTCCGAACCGTGCCGGGAAGTCATCGGTAGCAGCGCATTAAGAAACGGAGCTGCAGCCTGTCCCTCACGGGGTCACTGCCCCGTCCCTCTTCCCGCCCACACTTCCTCCCCCGCCCCCCATCCTCTCTCCAGCCTCAGCCTCACGCTCTCGCCACTTCCCTTCAACACTTCCTACACAAAAAGCGACAGAGCCAAGATGTGCAAATTGTCTACCTGTTACCAACTTTTTGTTTTCTAAAGGAGGGGCAGGGGATAAGAGTGTGCTGGAATTGAACTCATTCAAGTACCCTAAATTTCCTGGATGATTCGCAGATCAGACCACTTTGGGAAATGCCAAACAGGCCGAATCCGTGTCTTGGGTGGTTCATCTTGAGATTTTCTCCCTTGCCTACAAAGGGACCAATCTTCCGTAAACTGTATTAAGCCTGTGACACCAAAGGCAGAAAGGTTTGTGTGTGTTTAAATCAAGGGGAGATTGCATTACTTTATAAATCATACTGGCCTCATGAGCACCCTCTGCAATAAATATTCTTTTTAGCCTTAACTATAAATTATATATTTTAGTGTTTAAAAACCTTCCATCATGAAACATCTAAAAGTAACCCTTAAACTACTTGCTCCCTAGGTAAACCTTTGAGGTCCCTAATTTCAAACACCAGCTGGCACCAAAGGATTCCTATGAAAGTCAATTTCTCTACCGGACAGGAACTTCTCTATCATCCTGGCAATGTTGAGAATGCGGATCTGTTTCTTCTTGACTGGAACAAAACCTTCAAAAAACATCCCCCTCTCGCTAACCCCGCAGTGACATGCACTTGCTTAGCAATCCTGTTTGCATACAAGTACGTGAATATTCCTGAACCATTCCATTAAAAATTCGCCCCCCCACCCCGCATGCACAACATCAACAGCGATATTGCCTCTAACTACTGGACCCAAAGTGCTTTGAAATGGAATGGTTTCAGAATACAGAGAAGGAAAACCAAAACAACAATAATAGAAAAGAAAAAAAAAGTAGCTATGAATTTAACCTGGTTGTGAGCAGGCAGCAGGGCACTGGGTGAAAAAAACCAGCATCTCATAAACAGATAACTACAAAAATAGGCAGATTATAAAAATAGAATATATTATGTCACTATTTCATTTTCTCTCTACAGTAGCGTGTTGCAGGAAGGGGTCAGCTGGCCTTTCCTACTACCTTGAGACTGGCTGGTACCCGGCAAGCCCGGCCCTGATGAGGGTCCTTGGGCACAGACCGAGCACAAAAGGATGCCACAGTCTGCTACGCTGACTGAGAGATTGCATCAACCATCCATAAGGTGAAGAGGTTATATATCTACCTAGCTACGAGATAAATGAACATACATGTGACTTATCAAGTGACTACACGGCCGAACAAGCAGGGACAGGAACTCCCAGGACCACACCGAGATGCACATCCTGCGAGTGCACAAGAATACATGTTTCTAGCTAAAACCCTCTTCTACTTTAAAAATGGTTTGTTGCGATTTTTCTCTTTTAAAATGTTTTTATGCCTTTTTTTAAAAAAAAAAAAAAACATGAGGAATCAAATCTAGTCCTCCCTGGAGACTTCTTGTGTGTTAATCTATTTCTTACCAGAGACACAAGCACATTAATATAAAAACTAGTTGATTACTGGGGTATAAAAGCCTCTATTTTGTAGCACAACTCACCTCCCCCCACTCAGGGTCATGAAAGTCTATCCTCTCTCTTTCACTCTCTCTTTTTTTAAGGTTTTTCAGGTTATTTTTTCTTTTGTTTAAGTCAGAGATGGAAGGGAGAAAGAGCAAAGGAACAAAAACCAACAAGGAGAATGAAACTTTCCCTTCTGGTAGCAAAATGTCCCAGAGAAGAGGGACCTGGTCAGAGGAGCAGCTGGGACTGGCTCTTCCCTCGGGGGGCTGCTGGCCACTGCTCCGCACCCTGGCAGCAGCCGCGCCTCAGATGTCCACATCCCGCACGTCAGTGGGTGTGCAGGCCAGGTCCACCTCCTCCTCCTCTTCCTCCTCTTCCTCTGTGGCCTTGGGGTCCAAATTCTGCTGGGCCTGGCGCAGGCTGGACTCCAGCAGGGCCTCGATCTGCTCCTGGCAGGCACGCAGGCAGTCCTGGGAAGTGGGTGGAGGCGGTTCATTAGAAGGAGGTACAAAGCCAAGGCCCTGTCCCAATGCTGGACCTGAAGGTCTTCATAAGAGCAGCCGTAAGAGCTGCCACCAAGCCCCAGGAATGAGAACCATGTGCTACCTTTGGCCCCCAGCTGCACTCTGGCCCGGACCCCACCCAACACCAAATACTTCTGCCTCCTGTGACACAAGACTGGATGCAGACTTTAGATATCTGCTGCCTGCCCCAAGCTCCCCAGCAGGGCCCGGCCTCTTGGAATTCCTTCATGGGCCCTAATCTCCAGGCTCCTGGACTCCATGCGTCCAATCCAGATGGGGGGGGGTGCCCAGAGCCCTGTTCTTTTTGGACATAACCTCTGCCCAGTGGCAGCCTTGTATGTGAACCCCACACTCTGTGGTCAACTGAGATGGATGCCAGGGGTGGGGACCTTTATCCCTCAGTCTGCTCCTGCTCAGGCAGTGTCCTGTGCCCCCACCCCCTTGCATATGACCATCACCCCCTGCATAGGAGGTGCTGTAGCACTGCACCTCTATCCACTGGGCTGGACTCCCTGGGCAGTGACCACTTGCACTGCCAAGGGAGACCCGGGCCTGCCCCATGCCAGGGTGTGTCCCAGAAGCTCACGCTATTCTTGCTTCAAGGAGGCCTGAGTCAAGCCGCTGCTCCCAGGTGCTGGGTAGGGCTTCTCAGACCATGACATAGTTTTCAGTCAGCCCCCAAAACGGACTTTCCCACCCACACAGGGCTAAGCCACCACCCCACAAAGGGTTACAGGGGGGCGCCACCCATTGTCCCCAGGCTAGCAGGGCTTCCCAGGAGCCCACATTTATGGAGCTTGTGTTTCCTCCCCTTTCTGTTTGATACTCACGATGAACAAAGGTGGCAGGGCTGGTGGAAAAGGTATCATTTTGCAGTTGAGGAAACCAAGGCCCAAAAGCCCTTGTGTGAATGCAAAACCCCAGACATCCTCAGATGCCTCTGAGGCCAGACAGCTCCCACCCACAACCTCCTCATGCACTTGTCAGTTCTTGGGGGGCTGTGTGCCGAGATAAAGCCAAGAGGTGCAGGAATGGGGTCTCCAGGGCTGCCATCACCCTGAGCAGCTCCACACCCAGCTCATGCTCCAGCTCCTCGGCCATCTGTCCCCTCGTCTCAAGAACCCTATACTGACCAGCAGCTCTAACCCATGACCCACCCAAGTCCTACAGCTGAGGTTAGAGCTGGAGCTGAGTCCAGGCTTTTGGGCCCTTTTTTGTCTTATCCCTTGTCCCCACTCTGGCCTGAAGGCCTCCCCAGTGGATGATGTCCTTTACCCAAGCCCAGAAGATCCAAGAAGAACTGGCTGTGTTTTTTGGTGAAAAGGGACACACAATTACTGATACATGGCACAGCACTCCTGGGGTACACAGGGTGGATGACCCATCCACCTCAGAAATTTCTAGAACACACCCTCATCCACTCCAGAGTCCTTTGTGGACTCCTGAGGAAACCCCATCTGGGAAGATGGGTTGCAGTGTGGCCATGAACTTGGGCAAAGGTAGTTTTGGGGACCCCTGGTGGCCTGGAAACAACAGGAAGAGTGAATGTGGCAACCGAGGCCCAGCTCACTATGGGAGGTAACGCTGAGGAGAGGGTCTTTCTGAGTCTGAACTCAGCTACCCTCGTCACTGGAAAGGCAAAGTCATTCCAGCCTCAATTCCTTCCTCCACGTCAGCTGGGAGACATTTTCCTAACATCTAATTAGAACAGTCTCTGTTCAGGAGAGGCACAACACTGCCATTGCCTGCAGACAGCCATCATGTGGCACTGCCACCAGAAATCCATCAACACAGCTGACCAGGTTAAACAGTCTTGGGTGTGAGGTGGAAATTTTAAAAAGCGCAGATACAAAGCATCTTTCTTTTTCAGCAGTGCCAGTACATGCTCACCACTGAGCCAAATGCCAGCCCAGAGCGAGGCTGGAGGGGCTTTTTTCTCAGGCCATGTCCTTGCTGCATAAGGAATTGCTGGATTTTGAGGCCCTGGAGTGTCTCCCCCAGGTCCTTGTCCAAGAAGCTGCTGCCCCTGACACCCCTCCCCAGCCCAGGTTGAAAGCCAGGTTGGGGGGCACTTCCTTGTGAGAGGGTGTTGCCTGTCTCCTGCCCAGGGGAACATGGGCATGAGGGTGGAACTTCCAGAACCTTCCAGAAGCTCTGGGGTGGGCTCACCTGGCCTGAGTGGGGGGTGTCAAGGCAATTAGTCACTCCCTCATGCACAGCAGGCGACAGCTGACCCGCCAACCTCTGTCTAATTTGGTAAAGGCCACAAACCCTTATAATTGTCATTTAAGTTCTCCCTTTACAAAAAAGAAAAGAACTAGGAATAAAACAATGGCACTTTTAAGAATGAAGACACTGGAGTTTCAAAGAACCCCACCCCCTAGTGCCACAAAAAGCAAGTTTGTTTCTATTGGTCTCAGTGACCAGAGGCTCAGCCATCACAGGAGCCCTTTAAAGCTGCTATTTACTGGCTGTGAATACTGTGGTCAACAAGGCCTCACATGCCGCAGCCAGTCACAGGGCCCTCGCTGTGGCTGGCCTTGGCTCGTTACAGCTTCTGCCTGCTCATGGGAGCCCCAGGAAGATAAGAGGACCCTGCAGGGACCCACCTAAGATGAATACAGGACTGCCCTGCCTCTTGGAGCCTAGCCTGTCACCCATGGGGACCCAGGTGCCAGATGTCTCCTGTGGCCACCACTTACCGGGTCACACTTGATCACTCTGGAGAGGAAGTGCGTCAGGCGGTAGCAGGTCAGGAAGTTGTTGGGGCTACCCAGGTGCAGGCCTTGTACTGCGGCCACCACGCTTCCAGCTGCCACCATGGAGGGTGGGTTGGAAATGAACTTCACGTCTGCAGCAGACAGAGGGGGCTTGAGAGGGGTACTGCCACCAACAAACTCCAGCCCATCAAGATCAACCAGCTGCAGAGAGGTGGCCACACCGGACTGACCGACTACCACCCCCTTGCCCTTCTAGCAACTTGTCTTGTGAATGTGTCAGTCAGAAAAATAAATGAAGGACACAAACACACTAAGTGTTTATGTTGCCTCTGCACCACTACTAGGTATCTGCCATTGCCTGGCCAACAGGGACTGGAAGCAATTGGTCACATTTCAAAGGGAATTCACAAGGCCACAGGGAGAGAACAGTCACTCCCCAAGTCCCTTGGGGGCCATGATGGTGATGGTAACTTCACAGAGGAAGAACCTTGGCGGCCACCTGGCCCTTTCTCCCTGACACCTGACTTTTCAGGGAGACCTTTAGCAAAGCCCAACTCCATGCCCAGCCCTGTCTCTGTTGTTTCTCTGGTTGGAGACAAAAATCTTTTCTTTGCCCTGGCCAGATGATTTCCAACTTACTGATTGGCAAAATGAAAGAAGTGCATGGTTCCCACCATGATCATCGGCACAAGACACCCAGGCCAGGGAAGTCTGTGCAGCCAGCCAAGGGGGAGCTGTGCTCGGTCTCCTGAATAACACACAGTGCCTCTTCCGCAAGAGCCCTAGCCAAAGCAGGGTCCCACACTCAGGCCATTCGCCTTCTACAGTTGGGGTTCTTGGGGGGATCCTCTGGTATTCCTGGGCTCTTCCAAGGAAACAGATGGAGGGCAGTGCCAAGCCAGAGCGGCCCACGGCCTGTAGTCTGCACTGTTGTCAGATGCCAGGGCACATTGTTCCCCAACACAAGGCACTGAGTGTCACTCCAGGGTCACCAGTAGCCCCCTTCCTCTGACTGGCAGGGCCCCACTTGCTGGAAGCCACCCATTCTCCTGTCCTTTCCATCTGGCCACCACTCCAGCTGGCCCCACTGCCTGCCTTTCTGTCATGTCCAACAGGGACAGCCGCCAACTCAACCTATGGACCATGGGCCCTGGGCCAGAGGCAGATGTGGGAAGGGCGAGCATGGCACCTCATCAAGTCCCTCATCTTGCAACATGGAGTGCCTGGGAACAACGGGTCTCGGTGAGCTGAATGGTCCCAAAGGGAGAGGGGCCCCCATGAGTTGCTGGGGGTGCCACAGCCCATCTGAGGCTTCATCCCAAAAGAATGAACAACTTTGGTCTTGTTAAAGAGAGGGGGCACCAGCAAAGGGCTGGGAAGAAAAGCAGCCACCCTGAAGGGAGACAAAAGCCAGCTTCTGGGCACCACTGCAGCAACTTAAAAAAGAAACGGGGAGTGAGGCAAGCCACCTCTGTTCCCTTTAAACGGGAGCAATTCCACCAGGTCTGAGAGCAGGTGCCATGAATGGAGACCTTTTCACTGAAGCAGGTCAGAGCCGCACACAGAAATCACTTCTGCAAGTGACAAACTCTGGTACCGCTGGTGGCCACAAGCACGACGAATCCACCTGCTGCCTCGACTCTGAAACTCCCCCAGCTCTATGCGTTGCGGCCAGGCCAGAGTGGCCTTCTATATTAGACATGAGCAATTCAGAATGAACCAATTCCAATGTTACTTTTCACTCAATGCCTGGCTGGTGCCAGCACAAGCAACTGTTGGGGTACAGTGGCACAGTTGACCCTCAATGAGACCCTTCATTAAGCTGAACTGCGTGCTGTCAACCACATTGGTTATGTCCTTGCCAAAGAGACTGACAAAGTGGCAGGCTCTGGGGCGCGCATGTTAAAAAGCCCAGCTTTATTCAGGCGTGCACACCTGGAACCCCAGCACACTGGGAGGGTGAGGCAGGGGGATGGCAAGTTCAACCCCAGCTTAGGCGACTGTCTCAGATAAACATGGGATGTAGCTCAGTGGGAAGACCCTGGGGTTCAATACTACCATAGACACACACGCACAAATAAAAATAGGCCATGGGCTGGGGATTTAGCTCAGTGGCACAGCGCCTGCCTTTCAAGCACAAGGTCCTGAGTTCGATCCCCAGTACCACACACACACACACACACACACACACACACACACACAAAATGAAATGTAAATAGCCCAGCCTTATGTATGTGTGGCCTGTGCATCCATGCTAAGGAACCTGGGTCTGGGGACCCCTGAGCAGGGGGAATGGGGAGCAGCACTCTCCCATTTCCTTTAAACATGGCCTTTGCTGTGTAGAGGGCAAACACACCTTCTTAGACTTGTGCTTCTGCCTCCACTGCATCAGCTCAGTTTTGGTGTTGGGCTATAACCTTTGCCTCTCTTCTGTCCCTTAAGCCTGACACTGCCACACTGCAGCTGTGTCCAATGGGGTAGATGGGCACCATGCCTGGTGGGGACCCTTGGGTGTGTGCTGCCCTAACCTGGAAGTGATGCCATGGCCACCAGGAGAATGGGGAACACTGGTCACAGGGCGGTCCATCCGCCTCACCTGCTGGTTGGGGTGCCCACCACCCCCACCTTAGACCCAGGCCCTGCAGCAGCTCGAAGCTGGCTCTGCTGCTCCGTGCTTGCTGCCTCCCCTCCAGCACCCACCCAAGGGTCCCGGGGGGAGCTCCGGCTGCCTGAGTTGTCCCCAAGGGAGGCTGTGCAACCATGGTTCCTCAGAATTATCTCCAGGAAACCCCGCTGTTCCTCTCAAACCACTTTCAGCTCCATAAAAGGCTGTGTGGAGCCTTGCTCCGCAGGAGCCCCAGCCAGAGAACTCCTCCCTGCCGCCTGCAGTCTCAGTGCTGCCCCCACCCTCAGCTCCATCCAGGCAACCCCTCCCTGACTTGAGGGAGGCAGTACAGCAGGTAAAGAGGGGGGCTGTGTCCTCAGCCTCCTCACCCCAGCAGCAATTGCTCTGGAATGCCAGCCACGAGGGGCTGCCACATAGCAAGGGATACAATGGAGATACCAGAAATGGGGGGTGGGTGCTGCCCCCTATGATAGTAGGTTGTCTTGGGGCTCTCTCAAATCGCCCAGAGGGAGTCTACATGCAGATGTAACAACTAAAGCCTCACTGGGGCCACTGAAAGGTCACAGCAGAGTGGGGTAGGAGCGTTTGAAGTGCCCCCATCTCGGGCTTCCGGGACACAGCTCCCAGTCAGGAGGGGCAGCACAAGGTCAAAGGGGCAGAGGCCGAGTGGGAGCAGCAGGAGGTGACTTGGTTTGTGTGGGTGGGTGTATGAATGTCTGGCCCTCCACACTGGTCCCTGGGACAGGTGGCCTGCCTGGGGTCCTAGCGCTAGCACTGTGCCAGGGAGGGGCCTCTGGGAGTCATGCCAGGGAGGGAACAGAGGGTGGACCCCTCTGCCGCCAACCGAGTGGCTGCCCTGAGCCCCTCCCAGAACACAGCTGAGCAGAGCCGGCCTGTGGCGCCCCTGGCGGGGCCTCAGGCAGCAGAGCTCCTCCACTGGCCGCCCCCGCACTAGGGCCGTGCCGTTGCTGGCAGAGGGAACACGTGGTGCAGCCACTGCTGGCTGCTTTCCCCACCCCTGAAGGCGCCCCTGGCAGGTGGCCCAGCTTGGGAGAGGCCAGGAGGGGGCCCCCCACAACTCAGGCTCCTTGAGGACAGACAGGAGAAGGGCCGGGGTGGGGGGGCGGCAGCCAAGGTAAACCCTTTCAGTGTGGAGTGGCTGTGGGCTGTCAGGTGTGGGGAGTGGAGGCACCGCAGCGGGACACAGAAAGACTTGCATCCCCCACCCCCCAGGCACTGTGGGGGTGTCTGTGCAGGGAGAGGGCCACTTCTGTGGGCTGGAGGGGGCCTTGGGACAATCTTCCTGGATAGATCTGGGTAGCAGGCCCCCTACCTGTAGCACACAGGGCGACAAAAGTCTGTGCGTGTTTGCGGATGATCTGTTTGTTCTCCTCAGCCTCTGGCATTTTGGACAGGAAGTGTTCGATGAAATCATGGGGGGTCATGGCAGCCAGGTTCCACTTGAGTTTGTTCACCAGGAGCAGCTCCATTTGCTGTGGAAAACGGGGAACAGGCATCAAGAGAGGGGCAGGCTGGCCCCTGGGGTTCTCCTGCGGCCCAGCTCACTGGCCTTCGCCCTTGGTTTGTAGGCTTACGGTAGGAGAGTGGGTGGAGAATGTTGGGGGGCATCCAGAGAGTGGAAGTAACACATGATCCCAGATCAAAATAGAAAAGGTGCATGTAAAAGGCTTCATTCTCCTTATTAAACCGACCCCGCTGGGAGATAAAAAGACCTCCTACCGCCTGGAACTGAGGGCCTCAGTGACCAGCGTTGCGGCCCGCGCACCGCAAGAGGGCGCGCGTCACCCACGTTTGACCCCACCGGAGTGCAAACGTGGTGGGAGTCGGATCAGAGGACAGGGTGAGGGGGCCGTGGGGGTCGCCTGGGGTCCAACTGCTGCCCTAGGGGCCGAGCAGTGTGGGCGCCCTGCTCTGGAGCAAGAGATCTGTTGGTGGCAGGCCGGTTCTCCTGCCATTTACACCTCCCCCTAGCCGGGGTCCCACAGCTAATGGGGCTTCCCGCGCGGTGCTCCGCGGTTACCAGCAGCTCTTCGGGCCGGATGGAGTTGTCAGTGTAGATGCACAACTTCTCGGCCGTCAGGGGGATGGTCTCCTTCATCTTGGAGGCCACGAACATGCAGGTGGCCCCCAGCAGCTGGAGGCGGCTCTTCTTTAGAGGCTCCAACGACAGGAAGCGGTCCAGGTAGTTCATGGCCAGCGGGAAGACCTCCTCCTCGCACTTCTGCTCCTCGCAGACCTGCGGGGAACCGGGCTGTGACCGCCATCGCAGGGGCCCTTCCAGGTGCAGGGTGGCCAGCCCCCGAGGGCGCGGAGGCTTGGGGCGCGGGGGCGTCCCAGGATGCGCACCCTGCCCCGAGTCCCCAGAACCCATACATCCCGAAACTGAAAGGGAAAGTCCGTGTGAGGCGGGCACGGCGGGCGGGGGTGGGCTCGCGGGGGCCACCGGCGGCGCACGAGGACCCCGGCTTGCGCGGGACCCAGGGGCCACCGGCAGGGGGGACACCCACCGCGCAGCGGGACCGCCGGGGGTTGGGCGCCGCGCTCGCCGCCCTGCGAGACACAAAGGTGGCGTCCCAGGCCGCCGCGCCGCATTTCCCCAGACGTCATCTTTTCAAAAAATATTTAAAAATATTAAAAAAATAACTGGGTGCCTAAAAACCCCCTGAAAACGACCCTTAGGCGACCCATGATCCTTGCCGGGGGTCGGCAGCTGGTTGTGGGCTGCAGGGAGAGCCCCAGGAATTCAAACTCCGGGGCCTCCCCTTCCCCTCGGCGCGGGTGCCGTTTCCCTCTCGCAAGGGCACCACGCCGCACTTTCAGAAATTATTTAAAAATACTTTCGGGCCACCGAGGCGCCCACCAAAGGCCTGGAAATGTGCCCCGGGCCCCTGGCTCGCCCCAGGAAAGGACCCTGAGCGGAGATTCGCGTAGACGGGGGTCAACCACTGGCGTCTTGGGGGCCACGCGACCTTGCAGCCCGGCGTGCTCTCTGGCCCAGGCTGCCCGTGAGGGGCGCCCCGGGGCCCGCAGCTTAAACAAAGAGCCCCCTTCCCGAACGGAGGTCCCCCCAAAACAGCCTACGCCGCATCCCCGAGCCCCTCCCGGTGGCTCCCGGCCGCCGCGCTGCCCCTCGCTGATGTCCCAGAGCCCCGCCGAGCGCTCCCCGCCCCCACCCTGCCCCCAATTATTAATAAACACTTTTGCTTTGCAATAAAAGCAAAGATGGCGCATAATACTGGCACGAACGCCCCTTGCATACGTGTCCATGGATATTAATTTAAAAATCAAATCTATGCCCCCTCCCCCCAGAGCCAGCGGCTCCGGGCCGCGGCAGGCGGAGAGGAGGCACAGCGGCGCAGGCGGGGGCCACAAAAGGCGCCCAGCCTGCACCCTCTTACCCATTGGGGTGTCCTTAGCACCGGCCTCCCTTGAAGGCACCCCTCCATGACCCGCCCCCTACCAGGAAGAAGAATTTCTAACGCCCCAACCCCCACACCTTCCTCGTTCAAAAAAATACCCGCAATATCTATTTATTTTGAAAATACGGATTCCTAGCAACACCCTGGCAAACTTCAAAGTTGGAGGGGGACAAGAAGGGAAGGAAATGAAGGGCGAAGAAATGTGGGTTTGGGCAACAAGTTGCAGGAAAGTCAAAGAGAGCCGCCCGAAGCCGCGCACCTCCAGCATCCAGGTAGCCACGATCTTCCGCATGGACGGCAGGATTTCCTTCTGCACACACTTGAAGTAGGACACGGAGGGCGCGCAGGTCTCCTCCGCCTTCAGCATGGCTCGCAACACCCGGTCATTGAGGAGGTTGGTGTCCGGGTACGCGCGGCGGATGGTCTCCACCTCGCAGCACAGGAGCTGGTGTTCCATAGCGGGGGCTCTGCCTGTCCGCCTGGAAAGGGCTAAGCGTCTGGGCTCGGTCCGCGTTCCCTTGCGCTCTTCTGCCCCTCACCGGAGCGCGCGGACTGTGCTGCTCGCTGCTGCTGCGCCGACAGCCCTCTGGAGGCTCCCGGACTTTGCAACTTCAACAAAACTCCCCTGTAGCCCGTGTGACGTTACTGTTGTTAAGCAGAGATCAAAGCCGGGCAGAGAATGGGAGCGGGGGGAGGGACGGGGCGGGCGCGGGGGGAGGGGGCGCGGGCGCAGCGCGCTGGGAGCAGCGAGGGGCAGAGCCCAAAAGCCATCCCCGAGGCTCCGCGCTTGTCTCGCGGTGGAGCTGTCCCCGAAGTTCGGTTTTTATAGAAATGCAAATCGCCTCGCGGCTGCCTTTCTCCCTGTGGGAGAAGAGGGGTACAGGGGGCCCCGGCTTTCCCGAGTGGGTCCCCCGGGACTTGGGGGTGGAGTGGAGGTGGCTCTGGAGAGGAGCACGACGAGGAGGGCGGCAGACCACACACAGCCGGGGAGACCGCTTAGATGGGGAAATGGGGCGCAGCGATACCCTATATGCGAGCCGGGAGAATGGGTGCATTTCCGAGAACGCCACGAGGGCACCCACGGGCGGAGAGAGGGCCAAAGAATCTCAGCGTCTGCATCTTCTTTCATTTTCATTAACACGTGTAAATTTCAGGAACTATTTAATATGCAGGGACTCGGGGCAAGGCACACTACTCAGGAGCAGAATTCACCCCGGGGCACCGCGGGTGGGGGTCGTTGCAAATGCCGGAGGGGGTATCATTAAGCATTAAAGAGATTCACTCGCTCAAAAAAATAAAATAAATGCCCGAAAATTCCAGCAGCAGCCCAAGATGGTGGCTAGCACTTCCTTCATCCTGCCTTCGCCTGGGGGGATCTGCGGGCTGTCTTTCCACCTTGACCAGCCTATTCTTGCGGGTATCCCCTAAAAGCCCCCTCCCCGTGCTGGCAATTTGGAGAGTGGAAAGCTGAGAAGCAGTGGTCTCTATTGACTCATTTTTTTTAAATTAAAAAAATTAAATCGCTAGAAATATTAGTTGTCTGTGCCTGGGACAAGACCCCCGGAGGCTTCCCCGTTGGTTTTATTGGGGAAGTGAACGCCTCCGCCTTTTGAATTTATCCCAGGGCTGCATTCGTGAGCGTGAGGATGGCAGACACTGGCAAAGTTAAAAGAATTAGAAGTTAAACAAATGGGTACAGTGCTATGATGTTTTAAAATCTATAGACGGTCATGATTACACGAGAGGGTCCCCAATATTCTCGCAAACTTAAAGACATAAATAACTTTTTTATTAGAAATGTTGCCTTGGGTGGTTTTTGATTCAAGGGCATTTTACCTAGTCATTTTTTTTTTTTTTTACAATACCTGCCCCGAATTAAGAAAACGGTTCATTTACTTCTCCCTGGATGTATTTTCATGTTGTTCACTCACTGTCTCCCCCCAAAAATAAAAAGCCAAAGCCCCCTTTCCTCCCCAGAGTGCACGTTGCAAGATGCGACCCCCCCTCCCCCAAGTCCCTTCTTCTAGGTCTCCTTTCCCTCAGGGAATAGGGTTACTGATATTCCGGGTTCTTGGAGGGAAATGACCCCCACTCGCGCCTGGGAGGCGGTGAGTGGCACAGGCAGGTCGCACCCTCTACGGGCCCCCTCGGTTACGCTGGCCGTGGGCATCCTGGAGCCTCGGAGCATCAGCCTGCGCACGAAGGTGGCCCGGCTACTTTTTCATTCATAAAATCTCGACCGGGCGGTTGCCCGGATGATTTATGAGGCCGCGCGCTGTCACAGGCGGCGCCCGTCCCTAGGGGCGAAGGGTCCGAGTCCCGCGTGCGCCAGGCCCAGGCCAAGACTCGCAGGTGAGAGGAAGCGGGGCATAAAGGGGTTCGCCCTCACCGGCGACACGGGCTCCGGGTCCAGAGGGAGCGTCCCCCACCGCGGGAAAGACTGAGGGAACTGGAATTAGCATGAGCCAATGGGGGCACGGCGTTGTTACTAGGCGGACCCGGCAGATCTAGACGAGGAACTTCGTTGATTTCTCGGCCCAGGGGCGGGCGCAAAAGTGCAAGCCCGGCCGGCTGGCGTGAAGAGCCGTCCAGGAACCCGTGGGGGAAGCTCTGGAATTTGGGGCCCGGCGGGGAGTGTTCCCGCCCAGCCCCCACCCCGGGGAAGCCTGCTCGGCGAGCCCTGGAGTCCCCGAGGGGGCCAGAAGCTGCAGGTCCTTAAGGTCCTTTGGTTCAAGAGGCGCAAAGGAAGCACTTTGATTTTGATTTTTTTTTTTTAGAGAAAAAGCAAGTTTTAAAAACTTTTATGTTGCATATTTTAAAACTTCACGCTTTCTTTAAAAAAAAAAAACCCACTACCAAACAGGAACTGCAAATTCTAGGCTCATTTAAAGTCTTCTGTCTGAGTTTATTTCTTAGTGACCATTTGGAGACAAAGAGCCAGTGGTCCTATCGGGAAGGGGCCGCGATATTGGAAAGAAAATCCCAAATAACTTCGATCCACCTTCTCGCTGTCTTTCCTTGGCCCCCGCCCAAGTGACCGAGGCCTGGTGGATGGTCGCCGGGAGAGGGCGAATTCCGCAGCAGGCGCATGTTTGCCACCGTCCCTGGCTGTGGGAACCTTCATTCAACCGAGAAGGGAGCGCGCCCATTCAGGAACCCGCGAGCCGCGGCGCAGACCCCGGGATGCAGCGCGGCTGCGCGCTGCCCAGCTGGGGGCTTTGAGGAAGCGTGCGTAGCCCCAGGGTCAACCGGGTGCCAGGTGGACTTTCTGCACCCCGCCTGCGGAGCGAACCCGGCGGGCGGCAGGCGGGCGCACCTAGGTGGGGTAACCTGCAGCCGCATACCTGGCGGTGACTTGAAAGGACTTGGCTCTGGCTTGGCGAGTTTACCATTGTTAAACCCTTAAATCGCCCTGGAAAACTCTTCCGAAAGCGGCTCCAGTGTTCCGGGGGCGTTTGGCCTCCCCTTCCCCCACACCGCATGCTTTTGGGGCGCGCCTGGTGGCCCACGTGCTGCCGCAGCTCCGCCTGGCCCACGCGGCGCCGATTCTGGGTGCCCCAAAGCTGGGGGAGGACCGGGGCGAACGAGTTCCGAAATCCACACAGGACGGCCACGCGTGGGGACACGGGTGGCTGCAGTCCTCGCCCCAGCTGCGATTGTCAATTAGCGTTAGCCACAGACGAAACCTAGCTCCCGGGTCGAGGGTCGGGATGAAGAGATACCACCCCGGGGGCGGGCGAGGAGTGCGCGCGAGTTTAAAAGCAAACCTAACAGATAGGGAGCCCTGGCTCCAGCGATACCTGTGGGATTCTGAGGGCAAAGGCCCAACTTTTGAGGTGAACGTAGATTATAACTGCTGCACCCCGCCCCTCAAAACTCATCACCCCGTGCTCTGAGCTGTATGAGCCCAAATCTCTCAGGATTTAGTTGGCCTCCTCGCTCTGGCCCCGGCCCGGCTCAGACTATTTGGTGGGGAGTGAGAGAGCGCCCACACCGGGACAAAAACTGCCGCCAACTGAGGTAAAGTAGAAACCGGGTGGGGTCATGGCCGCCCGAGGTCAAGCTAGATCGCCGACCGCCCCACCGAGGCCGAGCAGACCGTCCCGCCGGACGAAGGCCCAGGGGCCGCGGGATGGACCCGCGTGGGTGCCCCCGCCTCCAGGATTGGTCTCCCCGCCTTTTCTCAGGAAGACTGGCTGCGGGGAGGGTCCGCACCCCCGCGCCCCTCCATCCGGCTTCCTGGGAGCTCTAGAGCGTCTCTATCCTTTACCGAGGCACTGGGGAAGGTCGGAGGGGCGGGTGTTCCCTACGCGGAGCGAGTTCTGGATCTCTGGACCCTTGCCAAGGAGGGGACGGGAAGGGAAACTTTCCAGGTTTGGGCAGGAGGTCGCCCACCCGACGTCCTGCACCCCTCCCAGGGAACCCTCGGGCCACGCCACAGGAACTGGCGGCCGACGCGCATTCAGGGCCCTTGAAAAGTTCTGGGGTCGAAGGGCCGTGCTCGCTCCCCCCAGGCCCGCAGAATGTTGGCACCGGGCTCTACTTGTTCCAGCGAGTCCGGGGTGAGGTCGAGGGAGGGTTGGGAAGCGGGAGCGCGCCGTGGGACCCGGGGCCGTGGCTGGAAGCCGCGCGAGGCCGCGCCGCGCATTCCGCGCATTCCCGCCGCCCCGGTTCCGCCGCCACGTGGTTGCCCTGCGCGCCGCGCCTACCGTAAAGCGTGGAGCTGGCGCGCACCCACGGCTCCCGAGCGCATGCGGACCGCCTAGCACGAGCCGGGAGCGCGGCACGTGGCCCCGCAGCGGCGCTGGAGCTGCGGACTCGGGGGCATAGGTAGGGTCTGCTCTTTTACACGAGGAGAGCTGCACTGCCGGTGTGATAAATTGTTTGTAAAGACGAGCAGGAAGGAGGATGCCAGGGCTCCACTGCTATGCGTCATAGAGCGACTGACCAGCCAGGGAAAGCGACAGAACCGGACCGGTGACCATTGCGCCTTGCCAGCAGTGGTGGAGGCTGGAGAGGACCTGCAGCCTTTGGGTGCTTTCCGTTCTTTTTTTCCTTGTTCACAATCAGTCGGTGGCTCAGTGCAGTGCGTTGGGATTGGGAAGCGCAAACCGGAACGTGCTTTGCAAATAGGAATATGTTCATCAACTGTACCTACTTTTTTTTTCTTTTTAAACTAGATATTGAACCCTGGGCTTTGCTCTGAGTCCTTTTTTCTTTTTCTTTTTCTTTCTTATTTTTTTTTAATTTTGAAAAAGGATCTCGTTAAGTTGCCCAGGCTGGGGTCCAACTTGTGATCCTCCTGCCTCAGCCTCCCAAAGTGCTGGGATTATAGGTGTGTGCCACCACGTCTGGCTGCTATAAATTTATTTTTTTAATCCTGTAGCGCCCTGGCCCCATCAGTTTAAGATAATGATGCAGCACATTCACGAATCCTGAGCTGCTGAGTTTAACTAACTGGATGTCTGGCTCTCCCTCGAAGTTCAGGGTGTGCTCCGGTGCTCTGTGGTCCTGGCAAGGCCCAACATCCCAGTCTTGATTGGTCAGAGGATTTTGAGAATCCTGCTGGGCCATCTGTCCTAATGCCTGCCTGGACAGAGGGTCCTCTGGAAATCTTGGGGAG